TGACCTGGGGCTAATCCGGGTCCCGGGGCGGGACCGTTCCGGGCGTGGTCCGGTCCAGGGCTGGGCACTGATCCCGGTCTGACCCTCATCTGAGGTTTAGTCCTAGTCTGGGTCTGGTCTTGATCCGAGTCTAATCCTGGTCCGGGGTTCAGTCCCAGTCTAGGTCTGACACTGATCCGGGTCTAATCCTGGTCCGGGGCTCAGTCCCAGTCTGGGTGTTGGCATGGCCTGCTCCCAGCCATACTGGGGCACTGTGGGTTTGTTCCTGAGGGCCCCATTGCCGGGGCACCTCTCCATGGGGCAAGACCAGGGACCAGCCCCGCACCGAGGTCCCGGGAGGTCCCACTCCCACCGCCCTGGTCACTCCAGGCTGTCCCCACCAGACGCAGCAGGGCAGGGCTGCTGTCTCCCAGGGATGCTCTGGGGACCCAGACCTGTGTCCGATGCCAAAACGGTGGATGCCATCCCATAATACTCCATGCAACTGCATTAACCCTATGCCGCTCTCGGGCTGTGAGGGCAGCGCAGGGCTCAGCACTGCTGCAGGCTCTGATGAGCAGGGCGCGTGTCCCGTGGGCAGAGGGCTGGGTGGCCCGGTGACACCCCAGCTGCGGGTTGAGCTCCAAGGCTGATCCCCATCCCGAGAGTGCAGCCCAGGGCCGGAGCCAGCCCCGGGAGGTGCCGGCTGCCAGCCCCCGGGGGCTCAGCAGCATGGGCACAACTGCCCAGCAGTGCCTGGCCCGGGACAGAGAGGCCTTTCAGCCCGGGAGTGACAAAGCCCATAGGAATGCAGCTCCCTCCCATGTCCCCGTCGCATCCCTGGGGACTCGGCCTCCCTCCGCACCGCTACGGGAGGTGCCCACACCCGGCACCTGCGTGAGCACCAGGCTGTGCCCTCTCTCTGGAGGGGGCAGCAGGGCCAGGGACAGCCCCTGTCCCCAAGGGCAGGGATTTAAGCCTCTACCAGGGCTGGGTGGCGCAGCACCAAGGAGCCTGCCCACGGCCCCAGAGCACACCAGGACATCGTGACCACGGCCAGAGGCCCCGGGCAGGGAGGCCCCAGGGCGCAGGGCTACAGAGCCGGGTGTGATCTCAGCTCAGACCCCGTTCCAAGCAGGTCCCAGCCCCGGCACAAAGCCCCAGACACCCGGTGAGCGCCAACGTTGCTTTATTTGGAAGGTGAATCCATAGGCACCGGAGTGGGGGCTGGAGGGGTAACAGAGCTGGTGTTACAGGCAGGGCTGCGGGAAGCTGGGAAAAGGCACTTGTGGCAGCAGAAGCCCCGCTGGGCGTCTCAGGCAGCCTGGGCCAGGGGCTGCACCGGAGCAGGCGGGGGCAGGCGGTGTCGGGGACCAGCCCTGACACAGGGGAGGGACAGCATGTCTTGCCCAGGGAGGGGGTAAATGGCCTGGGGGCTGGCAGGACCCCCAGGCATGAGAGGGGATCGGCTGGGGCAGCACCTCATGGTGGAAGCGGTGACCCAGCACCAACCTTGGACCTTTCTGCGCCCCAGGGGTATCACGGCTGCTGCTCTCCATCCCAAAAAAGACACCAAGCAAACCCAGGCAACAGCCAGAGCCCGTGGCCAGCTGTTGGGAACGCTCATCCCACTGATCCAAGCCCGTGCAGAGACTGGGGAAGACCCTCCCTTGCACTGGGAGTGACAGAGAGGACCTGCCCTCAGGCAGGGCAAGGAGTGCTCCTGGCAGGGCAGCCCTGGTGTGGTGCTCCTCCAAAAATTCTCAGTGTCTCTCTGGCAGCCTGTTGCTCCAGTCGGCCCCACGCAGGCCCCTCAGGGCTTGACATTTGGTGGGATGTGGAGGCTGATCCAGGGCCAGGGTGGCCCCGCTGCCTGCATCCTCTTCTCTTCCCCAAGACGGGCTGTGTCCCTGCAATGCCAGGCCCCAGCTCCCCCCGGGGCCACGGTGCCAGCAGCAGCTCAGCACCACCATGCTGCCGCGCTCATCCTTCCCCTCTGCCTTGCCGCGGTCTCCGGGCAGCGCAGGGCAGAGTCCCGAGACAAGAGTTTTCTGGGATGATAACCCAAGCGCTGCAGAGCCAGGCAGGGCTGGCAGGCCGGTCTCCAGTGCCACTGGGCCCCAGGGCAGGCTTGGTGGCTGGGGAAGGCTCAGAGCCACAAAACCTTGCTGCGGGAGGGCGGGACCCAGCTCCCTTCTCCCCCAGGGGCACCTGGCCCCATCCCCAGGCTGTACGAGCCCCAGGGCTGGAGGAATTTACCCCCATCCCAGGGTCGCAGGACCAGGCTACGGCCCTGCTCGCACTTTCCCTCACCCCGCAGCGATGGAGCCTTGCTGCCCCGCGCGGGCTCGGCCCCCAAACAGGACAGCGTGTCCGGGGGGCCGGGGTGATGCCGGGTCAGGCTGTGCGGGACCTGGGTGTCTTTGCACCCCCAGAGCACAGGGCAGGGAGGGGCTGAGCCCCGCGGGGCTCCGGCAAGGCGGATGTGTTCAGGCCAGACAGGAGGAGGGGCCCGGGCTGGGGAAGCAGAGATCAGAGCCTCCGTTAGGGAACTGCGGAGGTGCCACGCAGCTGGGAGCGGCAGGGGGGGGGGGGGGCGGGGGGGCGGGGGGGGGGGGGGGCCTTTGCCGAGGAGCCGACAGCCAAGGTGCCTCAGCTCGCTTTTGAGATGAGACAAACCCGTGGCTAAATTGCAGATAGCAGTTAGGACTAATTACCTGCAAAATTTGTTTTTAAAGAGTGATGCTGGGTCTCTCCCAGAAATTGGGGTCCCTCTTAGGGGCTCTCCGCTTGGGTCCTTCCACTTGCAATAGCCTACATCTGGCCATCTTTCTGTCCAGGGGTGGGAGAGGGGCCTGTGCAGCAGCTGGGTGTCCACGCTGTCTCGGCGGGATGCAGGGAAAGCCGTGCTCGGGGAAGGCCTCCGTCTGTCCATCCATCTGCGCAGGAGTCTCTGGAGGAAGCGCGGTGCAGTCAGCCAGGAGGGGATGGGGCGGCAGGGTCACTTTGTCCCGAAGCGGGGCTGCGCTCTGTCCGTGGGCGAGGAGAGGGGGAGCTGAGCGCCGTGGGGGCCCGCTTGGGTCCTTCCACTTGCAATAGCCTACATCTGGCCATCTTTCTGTCCAGGGGTGGGAGAGGGGCCTGTGCAGCAGCTGGGGGTCCCCGCTGTCTCGGCGGGATGCAGGGAAAGCCGTGCTCGGGGAAGGCCTCCGTCTGTCCATCCATCTGCGCAGGAGTCTCTGGAGGAAGCGCGGTGCAGTCAGCCAGGAGGGGATGGGGCGGCAGGGTCACTTTGTCCCGAAGCGGGGCTGCGCTCTGTCCGTGGGCGAGGAGAGGGGGAGCTGAGCGCCGTGGGGTCTCAGACGATGTCAGGCTGGTCCCGGCAGCGCCGTGACAGGCAGTAGAGCCCAGAGAGGAGGTACAGGCAGGCGGTGATGCCCCCGCAGACGGAGGCGCTCAGGTAAGCGCTGTAGAGGCAGTGCTGGCTGTAGCCCGGCAGGTTGCAATAGCTTTTCTGCCCGGCCTTGTAGCCCATGATGCCGGTGGCGGCCGCGTAGAGCCCCCCCCCCAGCGCCCGGTCGGGGC